CCCCCCCCCCCCCCCCCCCCATTTGAAGTTGAGCTTTGACAGTTTTGTTATGTTTACATTTCTCATAATCGTTCTTATGTCTATTATTTGGGCAATAAAAAATAATAGATCATTATACCCCTCTCATCTTCAGCGACACGTTAACAAAAAAAAAATGTGGAGCATTTAGTAAGGATATGAGAATGGTGGTTCGAATGCGATTCGCGGGCTGTGGTTTGATCGACGTTAGACCTTAAATCGAAATCGTTCTACATGATCTTCATCAACCCCATCCTGACTCGTTCAGTTCGCCTTTAAGCGCATATGTATGTACAAATGTTCCGTCTTTCTTATTTAGTTTCAGTACGCATTACATAAGCTACGGTAGATGAAAGGCATTGGTAAATGGTTTGGTTATGAATCTTTTCTTGTTTGCTTTGATCGATTTGCTAGCAATGTACTGAGGATATAATATAACAAAACTATGGATATAACAAAACTAACCTTAATTAATTTATTCCAGCCGTGTACCCTGTAATAAGGCAGAATCAATAGAGTATGGAGGCCCGCCATATATTTATCGAAACTCTTAAGAAGGCGAATGTACTGAATGAGTTAACGTGTTGTGATTAAATCGGCGGAATAATTGCCAAGCACTCGGTGTTTAGCATCGATCAGTTCATATGAATTCGATTCCGTGAAACATAGGCTCTAATTTTTGGTGGGGCTAGTTTTTGTGCATAGCCCTCTCCGGCCACGGACTGTTTAGGATTGGGAATGTACACTTCCGAGCCTATCTCGAAATGGCGTTCTCTTTTGAGGGTACATGCCCGTTGTGCGGTTTGTTGATATTGTTCGAACCGTTTGTCTCGAATTTCATCAGCCAGAACTTTACGCTGTTGCACATCCTGTGTATGGCATGGATTTACATCCAAAAATTATTTATATTCGTTTCCATCTTTCACGTATTCACGACCAGTGTGCAGGAAATATGGCGTGCAGCCCGTGGCTGAATGCACTGAAGTGTTAGTATCATGAATAACACGAGAAAGATGGTTTTCCCAGGGGGAATGTTCAAGAAGGTCAGCCATGTGAGCACGTAATCCAAGTTTAATGCTTTTGTTTGTCTCCTCGACCTGATTGGCTTGTGGATGGTACAGAGGCGTTTTCATGTGTTTGATGTTATAATCGGCGCAAAGCTTTGCGAAAGTTTGACTGATGAATTGAGTACCATTATCTGATATAATGATTTGGGGCAGCCATTCACCGTGAATATATGTCGAAGATAATTGACTACGGATATGGCCTTTGCATTTCTCATGGGCTGCGCCCAGACATATCGCGAGTAACAGTCGATGGCTACGAAGATCCACTGGTTACGATTTTTAGACATGGGCAGCTTACCGACGAAGTCAATCGATAATTGCCTACCCGGTCATTTTGGTTCTCTATATTCGCCGTGAGGTATTTTGGTGCTCTCATTACTTGGTTTAATGCAGTGGCATAGTTCACATTGCCGGACGTACTGGTAAACGGACTCATACATGTTTGGCCAGTAATAGCGTTGTGAGATACGTCTACAAGTTTTCCAAACACCCTGATGCGAATTTTGGTTATGATTTTCATCGAGGACTTTTGCTCTGTCAGAAGATGGTACACAAAGTGTTCACAGTATATCCGCAATTTGATTGGAAAATTTCAATCGATGATATAGAAGGTTGTTCTCGATTTTATATCTATCTAATGGTTGTTTTGAGGCCATGGCATGCATTTTGTTGTACCATTTATCGCACGTGTTTGGGTCAAAGTTGATCACGGATGTGATTGGGATACGATTAACGTGAAAATTACTCGGAAGGTTAATTGGATTTCTGCGAACGATGTTGAGAAGAGCAATAGAACGAGATAAGGCGTCAGGAAGTTCCAAATGTTTTCCTGGTTTA